TTAACACCCCTAATATAAAAAGGCTTCCTATAAATTTCTAAGAAACCAGCATACAACCCAATAGAAAAACAGGTAAAGGCATGTACATATAATAAACAGCAGCTAAAATGTGAATCCCAGTAACTGTGTGAGAAGACAGTAAAGGGGTATCTCCAGCAGTCAGGTGAAAAGGCAGACCAAAACAAAAGGAAGTAATGCTTTTCATCTTTGGATTGGCAAATTGGTAAAGATCGATTGCCTTCAGTGCTGGTAAGGATGTTGGAAGGTGGGCACCATACGTTCCTAGTGGAGCGTAAATATTCACAAACTTGTAGAAAAGCAGCTTGGCAGGAAGAATGCCCCTGAGACACGCACAGCAGAACAATAGGCATAGTATGATCCCACTGTTATAAAATAAAAATCTTCAAATTTTGGAGCAATGAGAAAAGTGTGAAAAGAGACATGCCCAACTATTAAAACTGACGCCTAAGGACAGGGGTTGGTACACTATGGCCTGAGCACCAAATCTGTCAGGTCACCTGGATTCTTATAGCCCATGAGCTAAGAATGGTATTTATACCCTTTTAAAGGGTTACCTAATTATCTACACAATATCCTCTATGTTGCCTCTTAGCCAACAAAGCCTAACGTACTTATTATATGGCCTTTAAGGAAAAGTTTACTGACTCTTGCTTCAGGGGGGATTGTGGTTTCTTGGTTGTCTTTTTCCCCCTTACTTCTCTGTATTGTTCTTATTTTTATAATAATATCCTGGGAGTGAAGAAACCAGGGAGACCAGTTAGGAAGCTACCAGAAGGGACCAGGTGAAAGAGAATGGTGCTTTGGAATAGGATGGGGGCTGCAGAGATGGAAAGAAAGAGGCAGATTTTATTTGAACCTATGGGAGTTGCCAAGGGATTGGACATGGATGGTGAGGCAGAAAGAAATCAAGGGTGACTCGCAGGTTTCAGTCATTCGTTGAATTGGTGGAACCACTAAGCTGGAAAAATTGGGGAGGAAAATGGAGGAGAAAGCTCTGCTTTGGACCTGTAACGGTTGGGACTAGAACTGTGAGAACCAGATGACTGGACGGAGGTGATGAGAGCTGCCTTGACTGTGGAGGGGGAAGCGGAGTGGGAATACCAATGTGAGAGTACTCATCATGTAGACGGCACTTAGAGCTGTCTGGAAGCACTGGAGAGGGAGAAGAGGAGGGGACCAAGGGTCTGCCTGGTGACACAGTACCCAGCCCCACCGGCGCCTACTTCTGCTGATGGACGTCTCTGATGCTACTCTCCAACTGCCTGGATTCCTCCAAATCACCTCTTCCAAAGTGTCCTTTTCCCACTGGCCAAGAACACCATCCATGGCTTCAGAGTAGACACCCTGACCCTTCCTTACAGCCTATGCCCAAATGCTTACCTGGACAACGAGGACAACCAGCTGCTATTGTTTCTCCATCTCGCACCTGCCTCCCCCAGTGGGAGATAAGTTCAAGTGCCAGTCGCTTCCAGTGTGCCCTGCCATGGGTCCCCGGCCCAGCCATGTGCAGCCACTTTTTATTCATGCCATGCTTTTACCTGAGAACACCAAGAAGGACTCACCAAGGAGCTGGTGTAGGTGGGGTCTGAGGTGTCATCCTGGAGGTAGCGGGAAAGGCCAAAGTCAGACACCTTGCATACCAGGTTACTGTTGACCAGGATGTTCCTAGCAGCCAGGTCCCGATGCACGTAGTTCATCTCAGCCAGGTACTTCATGCCCGCAGCGATGCCCCTGAGCATCCCTACCAGCTGGATCACCGTGAACTGCCCATCATTTTGCTGTAACAATACATAAAGGGCATTGGGATCAAGATGGGCTTCAGTGGTTAAACAGAAGCCACAGGACCACGGCCCTGCTGCTTGTCAGCCTCTGTCTGTGACTGGCCACGCTGCTCACTGTGTCCTTCTCCCTCCCCGCCTCCCCCATCCCTCTCCTTGAATACTCTGCTCTCTCCTTGCCAACCCTGTTGATTCTATCTCCAAAATACATCTCAAAGCCATCCACGCCTCTCCATCTCTACTGCCTCCATTCTAACCAAGTCACCATCATCCATCACCTGTAACAGCCTCCCCACACCTGCCTCTCCCCAATCCATTCTCTACACAGCAGCTAGAGCCAGTTTTGCAAAACATAAATCAGGCCATGCCACTCCCTGGCTTCAAGCTCTGTAACAGCTTCCCATTCATTGCATTAGGGAAAAGCTCCAAACTCCTCCTCATGGTCCACGGGACCCCAGGGGATCGGCCACCACCTCACCTGTCAGCCACAGTGACTGGTGACCTCTCAGTCCTTTCCCAAGCCAAGGTCTTCCTTCCTTATGGCCCCTACACCTGCCGTCCCCTCTGCTCTTCCTCACAATCAACACTTACCTGCCCTTAAGGTCTCCACTAAGTGTCCCTTTTTCAGAGAGAATGTCTCTATAACTACTCCCCTCCTCCAAATATGACTAGCACTTTCTTACTATCTTCTTGTCTTTTATGAATGCTTTTATTCTTCTTCTTAGCATATCACAAGTTTTAGGTGTGTATGTGTAACACCTATCCATCTGCCTCTGCTGCTTGGCTCTCTGAAAACAAGACCCTCTCTCCTGTGGTTACCATTGTACTCCCAGTGCTAAGAACTTCAAATAGAAAAGGCTCAATAAACATGTGCTCCATTAGTGGCTACTACATCTCTCCCTGTTTCCAGAATTAAATGCTTAAGGTGTCTTCCTTGGGTCCTACCAGAGCTGTCAACCTTGACATTGGGATAGCCATATGCACCTCAAAGGGATTAGTGGCAGGAGAAACACACACACAACGTATGGCATTGACCCTCTTAGCGAATGGGAGCCAAGCTGCAGTGCTGCCCCTCTCCAGTCACCGGTGGGCTCACTGTTTCCTGGGTGGATGCTCTCCTTCAAGGTTTGGCGACAGACCTCAGTGAATGTATCAACCTTCCTCCTGCCTCCCCAAAGCCCTTGGGTCTTGGCTTCTGCACACACTGGTTACATCAGTGGACCCTGTGCTTTGCTGCCAATAACACATTTTCTCTTCTAGTCCAGCCCCAGCTGCTCCGCCGAAGGACGATAAGTAGTATTCTGTTAAGTAGAGCTTGGCCCAGGCATTGAGAGGCTTTGACTGGGGGAGAGGTGAGAGGAGGTGGAACACCCTGGGTCTAGTCTAAGTTACTGCTGGACACAGACCCTGGGCAAGGCAGCCACTCCCCAGCTCCCTCCTGTGAAACAGCACGCATAAACGTGCACAGCTCCCATTTACTGAGCACCTACTGCATGTGAGGTGATATACAACACAGTCACATGCACTACCTCACTTAAGTGTGTGTGAGACACAGCATCTATGCATGCACTCCTACAAAAGCATTTTCCATGCAAAAATAAATATGGAAAAACAAAACAGCCATTGAAAAACTACCCTGTGTATTAGAGAAAACCTCACCAATCAAACAGTCTAACCATGATAGTGTGAATATTGAAGACTTCCTTCTGCGAGACTGCAAGCCCAGGTCTGTGTTCTAGGGCTACGCCCCTTGATCAATCAGAGTGAGCAAACTGACGCTCCCTCCACACCTTCCTGAGATGCCTCCCAGAAGAGAACCCCCAAACACACTGGGATTGACACGCCCCAAGCTCCAGGCTGTTTCTAACTCAAACCTTAACCACCTCCCACCCTGCCTGGAATGCTTTCCCTGCAATATTTTCTTCTAACCAACTCCAAAAGGAAGTGCAGATCTGCTTTTTGGAAACCCTGACTGTTGTTCAGCACATGGTGCCCATCTGCGAGAGCTGGATGTGCTGTGAGTGATACGAATCCTCCTCCTTGCTAATGAACTTCAATCAACACCTCCTCGAGAAGTTAGCCAGGCTTTTGCGAACACCATTCATTTTCTCTAAGTAGGTCTCTAGGGACCTGCCTCCCCAGAAAGTTGTCATGCAACTTCTGTATGTTGGAAAATGTATCTCAGCTGCAAGTCACAAGGGTCACATTTTTCCAATTCAGTTTGTTACTTCCTCTCTGTAAGTGTAGACAACAATGTGGTTAAAAATGAATGTCTCCCAAAAGAAGCTGCTTGTAGATAGATTCTGGGGAGGGGATCGGTGGTGGTTGTAAACAGCTCTGGGAAGAGAAATGTTGGAAGAATGCACAGCAATAGGTCTGTTTCTACTTTAAATCACTGAAGCCTTCATGGAACAGCTTTACCATCTGATTTGTTTTAATATTTAGGTCAGTCACCCTTATAGGTTCTGGGGTCAACGAAGGCCAAGAAGTGGTTAAAAGTCCAGGCTTTTGGGGAGCCTGGGTGGCTCAGTCGGTTAAGCATCTGACTTCAGCTCAGGTCATGATCTCACGGTTTGTGGTTTGAGTCCCAGGTTGGGCTCTGTGCTGACAGCTCGGAGCCTAGAACCTGCTTCGGATTCTGTGTCTCCCTCTCTCTCTTTGCCCTTCCTCTGCTTGTGCTCTCTTTCTCTCAAAAATAAATGAATAAACATTTAAAAAAAAAAAAAGTCCAGGCTTTGGAGACAGACAGACCTGGCCTGGACCCAGGCTCTGCCGCTCACTGGTTGTGTGCCCTTGGGCATGTCATTTAACTTCTAGAGCCACATCATTCCCACATCTGTAAAATGAGAACATAGCATCCATTCTTCATAGGATTTTGGTGAGGTTAAATGAGACAGTATACATGAAAGGGCTTAGCTCGGTGCTCGTGAATACTAAGACAGTAACAACTGCTGGTATTATCAGCCAAGCCATCATGTCTCACAAATCAGCTCTCCCAGAGCCTGGTGAGAGAGTCTGAGGACACCGGGGGCCAGGACTACAGGTTCCTCGCAGCTTCCTGGTAAGCTAGGGACACATCCTAGGATCCCTGCCATAGGAGAACCTCGCTCACAGGGCATTCTGAGCTCTACAGGTTGGCAGCTGCAGTTAAAAAAAAAAACCCCAACACCCACATCCCAACTGTAGCAGTGGATGACAGAGGCCTAATGATGCAGGCTTGAAGTTTGGATCAATTAATTAACTAACATGATTTTTTCTATTTCTTGACTTTTGAATGGCAAGTCATTCTTGATAGAATGTGTTTTGATCCTCCTTTGTGCAAGGCAGGCAACAGTTTATTGCTTTTCAGAGAAGATAAAGGAAGTCCAGAGAGTTTAAGTGATCAGCCTTAAATCATTCTGTGTGGCTTTGACTTATAACAAGAATCTAAGTCCAGGATAGCAAATTACTTCTGCACTGACATTCCATCTGTGATCAACTGGTAACGCCTTCCTCAAATGTTGTGTGGAGAAGAAGGCTGTGTAGAAGCTTTGCAGCAAAAAGTGACATGATTGATTAATGATGTCTGCCATGGTCATAGAAAAAGAAAGTAGAGACATGTGTGCCTGAAATATGCTACTCTTATTTGAATCTTTAAACTCCTGTCCAGGGTCTTTTCCATGGAATATGGACTTTGTAATGGCAACATATTTTCTTTAGAACCTGCAGGGTAATCACATTTCATGATAAGACAGGATTGTGCCTGTTGAGTTCATAATCCTGGTGAAACTTACAGACACAAACCTATTAAGATTCCCTGACACATTCAACTGTTTTAGTTTCGGTTCATTGGTCTAACTCCCCAAGAAGAACTTCCAAAGACAGGAACATCAGCATATAAAGATGTACAAGACAGAAAAAGCCCAGTTCTCTCACTGACTTTGAAAAGGATCAGGCTCCAGGGTGATCACATGGTAAAAATACAGTACAGTGAAGTGATTTAAACTTTCTTCCCTTCATGAAATGCTTTCTGCTGAAATTGCTTTTTGGCAAATTCACTGAAGCCACTTGCTGGCCCTTTTATTAGGCAGGAAGGATTTAGGTATTTCAACTTTCATTGACAAATCCACTTCAGGAAATGAAACCCTTATTTGATTTATTTGAAGAGAATGAATCATAGATTTTTTTTTTTTTAACTGTAAGAGCCCTACCTTTCAAGATCATTCAATTCCAATGCCTTTAGTTTATAGATTGGGAAACTGAGTTAACAGATTTGCTCAAGGCCACTGGTGACTCATGGTGGAGCACAAAGCAGAACCTAGGTCTCGGGATGTCCAATCTGGTATTCTCTTCCCGATCTCTGGGTTATGGTCATGGGCTCCAGCCCATGAATAAGCCTCCCTGATAAGAAATGTCTGAATTTGACATTGCTCAGTAACTTCCAGGAGTCTTTCAGTTATGACTGTCTGTAGATGACCCAGCAGCAACTACAAGGTCAGGCTAGGCAAGAAGGCCTTACAGAGCATGTTGAACTTTTTGGCTGTGGCACAGGACATTGAGGAGGGCTTCAGGGACCATTCCTAAGATTATGCAAGAGACACCAGTGCCAACAAGGATATATTAAATAATGGATTTGCATGCTACATAATCCATGGCATAGACATTTAAAAAATGAATAATACTGAACCTCTTGAATGTGTGGTTAGAAAATAAGTGTTTATTTATTTTTTTTAATTTTTTTTTTCAACGTTTATTTATTTTTGGGACAGAGAGAGACAGAGCATGAACGGGGGAGGGGCAGAGAGAGAGGGAGACACAGAATCGGAAACAGGCTCCAGGCTCCGAGCCATCAGCCCAGAGCCTGACGCGGGGCTCGAACTCACAGACCGCGAGATCGTGACCTGGCTGAAGTCGGACGCTTATCCGACTGCGCCACCCAGGCGCCCCAGAAAATAAGTGTTTCTAATCCTTTCAGAAGGTGAAAGACTCTAAGTCCTGCAATGGGAGAGGAGCAGTGGGTGGGCTGTGAGAAGCCAGTGTGCCCATTGGATCCCCAGTGGCCATAGCCGCCCAGATGCTGACCCAGAGCTGGAGCTGCAGCCACTCCCCAAAGCCACCATGCCCAGTGTAAACGACCATGGCCAGTTTGGCGTGTGTGTGTCAGGGTAGGGGTAGTTGCACAAATTGAGGACTAACTCTTTTCCTTTATTCTCTGAATGGTGATCCTAAAATTATACTACTTCCCAAAAGATGGACCCTGCAGAACTGAACTGATGACCTACTTTTCAATTTTACCAAGCAGCAGATACATCAATTAATGTTGCTATGCTCCAGGGTTTGGTAGTAAGGCTGAAATTAGATTTATAGATTACCTGCCTCCATGCCGTGCGAGGAGTCAGAAACGCTTCATTTCCCTCTCCTCCTTGCGCTGCCTGCTCTGGCCATCCCTTACTTGCCATCCTTTCTCCTCTGCCTCCCTGTGTTCCTCTCTTGCCCCTGGCTCTTCTCCCACCGCCCAGGCCTCATCATCGTGACAAATACTGGTGTCTACCATGCCCCCATGTCCTGGGCCTCACACAGAAATAGCCCTGTGTGGAGCATCTGTGTGGGGTTTTGATTTTCTGTAGCCTCCTGAGAATGAATCTCCTTGTTCCCCTGCATGTTCCAGGGAGAAAGTCTGATCACAGTCTTCAAATCATGTTGTGACTCTGTGAAGTACAATCAGTTCACTTGTAGGAAATAAATGACTCCTAAAAAGGTCTGGAGGCTGGTTCCAGAAAATCCTTTTTCTCCTAACATGGCCTTCTATTCACATTTATTTGGCTGTCTTCACAAGAAGATCCCTGATCACGAATGAATGCCCCCAGGAAAGCATGGTCTCTTCCTGACTCTGACATGAGAGGTCTGGCCACAAGAATAAGAGTCCACGGACGCTTAGGATGACTACATTTCCCCTGTCACTCCCAAACCTTTTTGTGCCAGAAATGGTTTTTCATGTTTTTTTTTGTTTTGTTTTGTTTTTAATCCAAGTAGCATTCACCAGGTGATCACTGTGTTGGGCACTGGGGGTTTCAAAATAAAAGGCATAACCCATACCCTCAAGGTGCCTGTACCAGGCAAAGTACATCAACCCCATCATTTGCCCCCCCATTCCCCCCTCCAAAAATAAGCTACTATTGCCTAATAACCCAGAGGAGGCAAAAGTGTGTGTTTGCCCTGCCAACGTAGCTTCAGTATGTGCAAATGCAGCTTCTAGACAGGTCCCCCAGCTACCCTTTCACACCGCAGTCCCCAAGCCCTGCTTCTGAACTTTGGAGCCACCACCAGCTGCTGAAAGGTTACCAGATAGGCCATGCTGGCTCTGGACTTTGAATACACTGCTCAATTGTTCCATCATACCTGCCTGCTCCCCCATCTGCCTGTGGGTTCCTCATTCTACAATCAGATAATTCTCTCTCCTCCTTGAAGCCTTCCCGGGTTTCCCCAGGAAGATTTCAGTTCTTCTTGGCTTACAATACTTCTTTACGCCACACACAGAAACAAAAAGCAGAATCTAAGTGGATGATTGCTGGACACTTTGGGCAGGGACCTCTGTGGCAGGTTGTGGTCTCTCAGGTGGGCACAACAGGACCTCCCATCCCTTATGTATAAGACGACACCATGCTGCTGTTCCCCATCAAGATGTGGGGCACATTTCCTCCCCTTGAACCTGGGGGTCATATCACAGTAGTTGAAGGGTGCTGTGGGACTTGAAGCTAGGTTCCAAAAGTGGTCCAGCTTCTGCCTTCATCTCGTGGGATGTTAATTCTTGGGACCCAGCTTGTTGTGAGGAAGCCCAAGCAGGCCACCTGGAGAGATGCCAGCTGACACCCAACATCAACTGTCAGACAGAGGAGTGAGTGAGGCTTTGGATGATTCTAGGCCCCAGATCTTGAAGTGCCCCAGCTGATAGCACATGGAACAGAGATATCCCCACCGAGCCCTGCCCAGATTGCAGACTCATGAACAAAATAAATTGTGCTAAGCCACGGAAGTTAGGTGATCTGTTACATAGCATTAGAGCAATGTCTCTTTCATCTCTATAGGCCCAGCACCCAGTACGGGGCGTGACCATAGCACTCACCCCATGAATATTTCAAGACCAAGTGTATGAATGATACTTTAATCTGCAGCCACAGCTACTGTTTGGTAGCTTTGGTGACATGTACAGCCTGCCAGGTGGTATTACCCTGAAGTCCTTGCTCAGAAGGCCCAGCTCCATTGTGATGCTGCCCACATACTCTCTGCTCTCAGGACCCCCAGCAGTCCCCAGCTGAGGCTTTGGTCCGAGGCAGGACTTGCTCGCTGGCCTATGCCCAGTCAGCTGCCACTCCCCAGGCATTAGCATCATGTCTGTTCTCCCTCACTCCCGCCCTGAGTAACTCTGTGATGTCCCACAGAAATGAAAGTGGTTCCAGCGTGGTTCCATGTGAGCACATTCTGACAACGATCACTTACAGATCTTGCAGCCGGTGGCCTCGAGGTACCCCCACCTCTGCTGTAGCTTGAAGTCATACTTCCTCATCAAGCCCAGAAAAGACTTGTGAATGCTCGTGACACTGTCTATTCCTTTCACGCCCAGAAGTGCCCCTTCAGAGGGCGGGTGGCCCAGGCATCAGAAAAGGGCAGCTTGCTTTATCTCTGAGCTGCAAATGAAGGGAGCAGGCGGGGAGGGTGGCCGCGCTGGAGAAAAGGCAGAGATGGCCACTGGCGTCTGTGTGAATCACACAGGGCAGCGTAGCAGCTGAAGTCTCTTCAATCTCTGTGATTCATGCAGATGCCGATGGCCATTCTTCACCTGCCTCCCTATTCATTCGTATTCATCCAACGAGTATTTATCGAGGCCCTACTCCACGCTATCCTCCTACCAAGGGGTCCACAGGCTCCTCTTTGTTCTATCCTTTTAGGAACAAATCTGTCAACCTCGCTAACATCTCCAACGCCCACCCACATTTCATCAGGCGATTCCTAAGTGGCAGCCTATCCTCACACAGACACTTCTCCCCAGCAGCCAACAGTGCTAACATCATCCACACCCCTGGGCTGACCTTACCCTGAGGAAAGAATCCAAAGCGCCGTTCTCCATGAACTCTGTGATGATCATGACAGGCCGACTCTTGGTGACCACGCCTTCCAGGCGGATGATGTTGGGATGGTCAAACTGGCCCATGATGCTTGCTTCGCTCAGGAAGTCCCGACGCTGCTTCTCCGAGTACCCGGCCTTCAACGTCTTGATGGCCACATAGATTTCCCTCTTGCCCGGAAGTTTCAGACGCCCCTTGTATACCTCTCCAAACTCCCCTGCAACGAGAATACAATCATTACTCATTTCCTTCTCAGTCCGTGGAAGCACAAGGGGAGGCAGCTTATCAGGAACAATGGTGCTCCAAGTGGAACTGCAATTAAAGTGACAGAGATGGAAATAGCGTCCTTTCATTTTATTTTTTTATTAAAAAAAAAATTTTTATGTTTATTTATTTTTGAAGGAGAAAGAGAGCATGAGTGGGGGAGGGGCAGAGAGAGAGGGAGACAGAATCCGAAGCAGGCTCCAGGCTCCCAGCTGTCAGCACAGCCCCACGCAGGGCTCGAACCCATATGCCGTGAGATCATGACCTGAGCCGAAATCGGACGCTCAACCGACTGAACCACCCAGGCGCCCCTGTCCTTTCATTTTAACTATGATGTCCTAGCCACACTCAGTTCATAGAAAACACTGAAGTTATACCAAAATATGTTCCTTGCCTCAGTTCCTAGAAAGAGTTTAGGTAACTAAAGTGGAATTTCATGGGGTGCCTGTCTCTGCCCCTTTCCCACTCACGCTCTGTCTCCCTGTCTCTCTCAAAAAATAAATAAACTTAAAAAAATAAAAAAATAAAAAATAAAGTGGAATTTCAGAGTATATATGAGTTTGTTTTTCTTCATGTTTGGTTTTTGTATCCAACCTGAATAATGAAAATGAAATGGTCAGTTTCACTTTGGCAGATCATAATTCATCTTTAGCAGAGCCTGGTGAAAGAACATCCAGGGGCTGGGGGATATGTTCATGCTCTTTGGCTCTCTGAATGAGATGTAAAACATTTATGTTCCTACATTGCCCTGGAAGCTTCTGTGTTGATTGGATGCCCCAGAACGCAGACACTGAGAAGTGAGGTGGGAAGTTAGCAGATGCTGTGCAGGATAGAAGGGGAGGAAACAAGATTGGCCAGAGTCCCAGATCACAAGGCAGGCCTGACATTATGAAAAGAAAGAAGGAAGCAGGAATGGACAAGGAGAGCTCCAGATCGCAATGCAGAGCTGGCTGAGGCAGACCTGTCAGCTTCCCCCTCCCCTGGGGAGCTCCACAGTCAAGATCACCCATTCTAGGAAGGCCCGGGCTCTAGCCTCCCTCCATGCTCAGTCACTAGTGGGGGCTGCAGGGAAGCTGAGGCAGGTCCTGAAGGCGCTGCAGCTGAAGGGTGGCAGCTAAACAGTCAGTGATTTCTCCAAGCAAACACGAGCCACACATCTCCACGGGTGCCACAGCATTTAAACATTTGTGCAGTAAAAATCACCGAGTAAAAACAATTCTGGTGACACTATTTCATAGCTGCTTTAAAAAATCTGTTGAATCCTGTTAAATGTGCTTTCAAAAGTTATTCTACGACTTAGCCTGGTTTTGTAACTTCCTGTTTAGTTATCTACTTGTAAGTGTATCGCTGAAATGTGTCAAAGGCCTGACAGGAGACACAGGGTCTTTCTGTGGGG